CCCAAGAGTTGGCAGAAATCCATTAGACTAGCCTGAGAGTTGGCAGAATATTGTGTTAACTAAGTTGCCTTCTTTCTAGTGTATTAGTATAAAATTAGGAACGGCCTTTGTTTAGCTTTGCGTGGATATCCGAAAAAAAAGCAAATTTTTGTGTCCTAATTATAGTATTAATAGACTCATAAAATCACCGTCCAGTTTGTTTGTTATTAAACCCAAAGTTACACATTGGGCTATCTGTGCTCTGCCCATCAAGAGTATCGAAACCAGGTTTTTTAGCGTTGTAAGCCTACGGGCTTAGAGCTGAACCACTAAGGGAGGGGCGCGTAAATCCAAGAAAGCTCTATTTTATCATAAGTTCACAGTGGACAGAACACAGTTAGCTCATTGGGTAGCTTTGTGCTTAATAACAAACAAACACACAATGCGTCAACAAAAAATCTATTATACAAATATCAATAGTTGCGAAGCGTCAAACATAGGTTTTAATTTTAATTATTTTTTGCTGTTTTACTTGAATATTACATATATGGCCTTGAAGTATGTTATAGAAAAGCGCTTAATACACAAACATTAAAGCTGAACAGATAGTTGGTCATGTTCAAATTTATTATTTATAGTTCTGCCAGCCGGAAAGAATTCAATATCTCGAGCAAACTTAAAAAAAAAAAAAATGAAGCTTAGATTTATAATCTGTTTCTATAAGGGGAAAAAAATCACGTTTTAGCCAACATTCAAATTCGTTATAACATCTCCAAGATTTTTCACACAGCGTTGTGTAAACATACATGGACATTCAACACATAACACGTTTTCTGCTGTTTGATCACGTTATGTGGCTCTCCGGTGTTTCTTATTTTCATATTCAACGATTATCCAGCATTTTTAGCACGACTGTTTGTTTGGAATTAAGCACAAAGCTACACAATGGGCTATCTGTGCTCTGCCCACCACGGGTATCGAAACCCGGATTCTAGCGTTGTAAGTCAGCAGACATACCGCTGTACCACTGGGGGGCTAGCACGACTGATTTCAGCATAAG